ACCCTCCTGATACGTCAGGCTTGTGAATTTCCCCTCCCAGGCTTCAATCCACTGTTCAATTATCAAATAAAAATGCTTGTATGTAGCCAGCCATAACAGTGTTGTATGTTGTTAATTTCTAAAAGGTTAGCAATTGTCAGATGCACATTTGTTTTCTCATCCTCATTTGTGATCTCACATCGACATTTTCCCATGCTTATTATTATATAATCATGCCAAAGATGTTGGTTTAGTTCATTCTTGTTGCGATTCATTTTCTTCCTTAAGTGTGGCTATCATTTTTTTTGTCTGCCAGCACACACTTATGCTAACCTTCATGAAGATTATTATACAGAGTAGCATATGGTATCTTCCGAAACTCTATTTTCTTATCTGTCCTTTTGTTTCTACTAATCTTTGCTGGTTCGTGGGTTTCTTCATGAAGTTTTTCTTTTTCCCCTGCCCCTTGAGGCTTCTTTGGGTGGAGCTTATTTTCATTTCCTGATATGGCCCTGTCGTGCAAGTACCTTTTGATGTAGTCATGGTGTATTATCCCATTTAATCAAGGTTTTAAATATCAGTTATCGGAGATTTATCGGACGATCAAAATCCATATCGGATAGCGGATATCGGGGATATATGAGGATAAGTAGTATTTATCGGAGTGACATTACCGGATGGTGATGTACATAATATAATATTCTAAAATATAATCTAACCGTACTTAATGAAATATAAACATACCATAATGTAAATAATTATCTTTAGCATCACTAACCAATGGTAGAAACTCGGGTAGGGTGGGGTTTAAAGTGCATTGAATAGATACCCGTTGCCCAAAATCAAAACTCAAACCAAAGGCCGATAATTCCGGATTTTGGGCCGACAATATCGGCCGATAACTCACTTTATCGCCGCATTATTGGCGATAAATATCTAAAAATGATAACCGATTTAGAATCGAATTTATCATAGTGGAAGGGCCCCAAAACCGATAAATCGCCAATAATATTGGTTTATCAGCCGATAATTAAAACATTGCATCTAATGGTTCAAAGTGCTTTTGCTATTTAATTTCAATAACTATCTGCCCCCCCCCCCCCCCCACACACACACACACACACACACACCCCCCCCCCTTTTCTCTCTCTCTTGTGGTATACATGTTTGTTAATAGGTTGACATTTGAAAGGGTTCAGTTTGATTATCTTGATACTGAGCTCATGCAGAACTTTCTTGTTTTTAGTTTCCTTTTCTTTTGACCCACCATCTATCTCTTTTCCTGTTACATTTACAAATTTTCTTGCTGTCAACAGATATACACATTCGTGAGCCACCTGGAGATATCCTAATATTCATGACCGGACAGGTGAGTGGTATGCTTGGATTTCTCTTGTTTTCTATGATTTTTTCTGTTTGTTGCCATCAGCTCAATTTTTCAGAAAATCTTCACCACTATCCAGGCTAGCTAGGCTCAAATTCTCTGAGTTGTTTTCCATGATAATATCAGATTGATATGAGAAAACTGATCAGTAGTGTGTAATCTATGTCTCGCTAATATTATCAAGAATGATTGGCTTTAGGATGATATAGAGAAAACTGTGTCGAAGTTGGAGGAAAGAATCCAACGCCTTGAGGAAGGTTCTGTTATGGATGCTCTAGTTCTTCCGCTTCATGGCTCTTTACCTCCTGAAATGCAGGTAAATATTTCTTCTTCTTGCATTACCATTTGAGAAGTTGGGAAGACTGATGACTGTAAACTGAAACCACTTTGTTCGAAACTTATTTGAAACACCAAGTAAAATCTAAAGCAGGATGTTCTGTTTTCTATGTGCTCAATTGAAGGTTTTTCCTCTAAAGCGTATTAGTATTTCTGCTCAATGAATATCTCTTTGAGACTTTCTGGCTTTAGAACTTAAATTATCAGTGAAGGATGATTTGTGAACTGAATGACTTTGGAACGACAACTGGAAATGGTTGTTGATGCCTGTAAATTGGGGAGCAAAAGGAGGAATCTGCCAGAGGATTGGGCCTCACATGCTGTAATAGCACCGTTATAAATAGCGGTAAATAGCCCCGCAATAGCGGAGTTAATAGTGTTAGCGGTCCCTTCCCGCTACGCTATCGCCCAATACCGGTGACATATTACGGAATGTGTTTTTCGTTTGCAAAAGAGGCCAATAGTGTACTATAACGGTAAATAGTGGGCGATTGCATGCGAAATCCACTTTTTGACTGCTATTTAAAAGCGGTTTGAGGTTTATTTTTCTAAAATTAAACCCGACTCTTGATCATTACATTCCATAGTCTCCTGTGATTTTCAGCATATTCCTGTCACCTCTCATAGCCTCTTGCACCTACCTTAGTACTTTCTCTCACCTCCACCGTGGGCTCCTCTTAGGACAACCCTTTTACCGCTCAGCTTTGCTTCTCAAATACGGTGACTCTGACTCTTCCAGTCGTCTTCTATATTACGTGATGGTTACATGTCTATTTCATGTTTAGGATCTCTTTAAATTATCAAATATGTACTTTTAATTTTTTTAGATTTTTTTTAATATTTTTTTAGTATTTATACATAACTAAATTAGACCGTTATTTGACTTTGCGCTTTTTACCGCTATTTTACCACAATAGCCCCAAATAGCCTTAGCGATGCCTCACCGTTACGCGACGTTATCCGCTATCGATAACATTGTGTAATAGTATGGTGAGGCAATTGCTTACTGAGGGGATGATTGCAAAAGGATGATAAGCCACACTTGCACTTGGACGTGGCCCAAGTCAACGTGGCCTAAGTCAACGAGGTAGTAGCAGGATATCTTCTACAATGGGAAAAAGCCTTATGGAGTAATGCGGAATGGAGTTAAAAGTGTAGGCGTCAAAAATTACCTATAGGTTCCCGTACGCAGCTCGAGACGGAGAAAATACGATAAACGTTATTATCCAAGTCAAGGAGGATTATCAGATGCTGTAGCGAAGCTAACAAGCGCATGAAGCGAGTTGGCAAAGCATACGAGTCAACGGGATGAGAAAATAACGAAGAAACGACTCGATCGGGAGTTATGCTTCACCCACAAAGAGCGAAGCGCCACTCGTGTCTTGCTCACTCCATGTGTATTTTGCCCATGGGAGATTGTAGATCTCTTCTCTAGCTTTACAACGCATTTTGGATCACTTCATTCCGAGATCGGACTGGAGAATTAGAGACAAAACAACGAAAATATGCCAACGACGTCACGCCCAAATAGGAGAGACACCAACAGTGTCTCACCTAATGGGCGAGACACCAGCGGTGTCTCTCGCCCAGTAAAGCTGTTTTCGCTCATTTTTTCAATAAGATTTTATCCCAGAACCTCCCCAACTGATTTGGGGCTATCTTTGAACGTGATAAAGTGGTTATAGTTGAAGATGAGATCAAATCATCCGTTCTTATCCGAAAATAGAATTTCTGAAGCCTATAGATACAGCCCTAAGGCCTCTATACACGGGAGATCGGGAATTCGGAGCTGTCAGCGAAGCCCTGTCATTTTGAACAGCAGAGGAGTACAAATTTCAAAGAGGAGTTCGACAGATCTGCAACCCTTCAGCACCTGTTATCTGCTTCCCTTGAGATCAAACTTTAATTTGATCTCGAGAAGAGTGTTTGTCTCATCTTGCTAACTCGTTCACTTCAATTTCTTATTTCCTTTGCGAGACAACGAAATCAATCGGATCTAATTCGCGGTGGTTCACGGATAAACCCCGGCACATGCAAAGATCTCACGTAAGCAGCGGGTGATAAACGTCCTCTGCATGTGTTTCTAGGGAATTGTTGATCTATTTCTTTTGTGTAAAGAAGTTATAAAAGACTCATCTTTTTTAAATCTGTAAAAGTCGATAAACGATTGTAATGGATTCCACTAAGAAATCAATTTCCGACGCAAACACGCTGACGACCACAGTAGGAGCCAACAGCTTCACTGTCGAGGCTATAGTGTCGCAACTATTGATCAAGATATTGATTGAAGCAGAGGTCGAATACGAGTTCGACCAGCAGAAGTTGGAGGAGTACGTCTCATCCTCCAGATCCTCCTCTCCTTGCAAGCGCAGAAAGACCTCTTCGTTGAAGAATGTTTGTTGGTCTTTGGATCTGAAGACAGAGCGTTGATTCTCGCCATATCGCCTCTCTGGCACCTAAGCAAGCCAGATCTGATGCTGAGAACAACTCATCAATCAAGGAGTTTCCCGTTGAAGGTGCGCCAATTCTGACGAAGAGGGCTCGTCGGAGGCGACGCCAACGTCTTGCCCGTCAGTTCGCCAAAGCTCTGGAGCAGGTGGATGGACTCCGCTATCAAGCGAACTTAGAATTTAGGAGGCGCTAAACGACTAAGCCACCACCGTAGCAAGCAATGGACGCCTCAACCAATAAGCAGGTCTGTGTCAAACAAGCTCGTTTGACTCTTGAGGAGTGCATCTAGAAGCGTCGTGCACTTCTTGCGCACACATAGATTCTCGTGCAGAAGACACAAGAGTTGTAGAAGGAAGATGCGGCCAAAGAATCGTTGAAATCTAAATAAGTCTGGGTGCCGAAGGCCAAAACAACACCGAAAACAGCACTGAAAACAAGCAAAACACCGCTACTTGGTGCGAAAGGTGTTTTGCACCTAATGGTGCGAATGTGTTTCGCACCTGGTGTGAAACACCGAGGGTGTTTAGCACCCGGTCTCAGCTCCGCACGTGTTTCTCAGCCTCCGACAGCCTCCGATCCCACTCCATCTGATCCTGTACCTCTGGTGAAGCCTTATGGCAGCGTGGACCTGTCCAAATTTAAAATGAAGATGGAGGATCGCTTTGGTCCTTTGCACGAGGATTGGAGCAAAGCTCCAGTTAAAGAACGTTTAGGTTCGGTAAACAAATCCCGAGTGACTCTTTAGGCTGGGAACCGTACGTGTCCTCCTAACAAGTTGAAGCTAACCCATATCACGAAAACACCCGTAACCGCCCGTTTAGGGTTGCGTGTCCAGGATCAGGAGCCCGTTGAGATTTCACACTCGCAAGGGGGTGAGTCTAAACGTACGACTCCTAAGAACGCTAACAAGGCGTTACATTCCCGGAAGGAGACATGTTCGTTACATGACAACGTCATACCTGGGGAATCAAGTTAATAGCTGATGGGTTGCTTCGGCCATAGCGTCGATGAGTTGTACTATCAGACTAGGGGTACAAGGAACTCTCGAAAGAGAAGTATCCCAAAATCGGACTCTCCTTGCCCGTGTGAAAAGTTAATCAAGACAGTATTATCGGCATGTAGCTGCCCTAGGATTGTTCTACGGAGGGTCTCGGTATTTGAATGTATCTCCACTGTAGCGTCCAAATCTAAATCAAGATGCTTCCGCAAAAGATCAATCGGTCAGGATAACGAACTCCCAGAAGTCACCATCAACATGGCCGATAAGAGAAAGTCAACACGACGTTCCAGTCCCGATCCCTTTCCAGGGGCATCCCAGCGTCTCACTTGGTTACGGTCAGATACTATCAGATCTAGGCCGAGCAGAGGACACTCAGACAATTAAGCGTCAGATGCTAACTCCGCAGTCGTTATGACAATATGGTATCCAGTACGAGAAGATCACGTGAAGCATTCATGATCAACACTAAGCAAATAGCTCAGTTGCTCCAAGAAGCTTTGGCAAAACAGAAAGAAGAATTCAAAGCTGAGATGGAGTTGACCATGCAGCGAATGAGGGAAGTACAAAACCAACAGATTCAAGCCTTATCAAACTAGATTGGTGAATCTAGCCGTCACAACGCTACTAATCAAGGATGTAGTGATTCAGACGTGGATGAAAATCCCAACGTTGATACCCCTCTTGTGGACCAAAATGCTGGGGGTGATCCCACTGATGGTAATAACGCTAGGGGTGGTCCAGTTGTTTCTCCTCGAAATCGTCCCAAGAAAAATACAAGTGAGGACGGGAAAATGAAAGACCTGGAGAGCAAGATCAACGCATTGATGTCTGCTCAAGAGGTAAAGAAGATCGGTATTTCGCGTCTCTATCCAAGAGAGTGAGAGTTGATCCCATATCCGATGAAGTTTAATCTAATCAACTTCACGTTGTTTGACGGGAGAGGCTCCCCCACTCAACATTTAATCTACTTCAAGTTTCACCTAGGTGTGATCTCTGGTAATGAACCCTTGATGGTTCGGTTATTCGTTAGCACCCTTCGCAGAGCTACCTTCGATTGGTACCGCCGTCTCAAGCCAGGAAGTATCAACAGTTGGGACGACATAAAGAGTATGTTTCTCACCAACTTCTTCGATGATGACACTGATGTGTCAATCGACACATTGTTTGATGAGAAGCAAAAAGACGGAGAAACGGTCAATAACTTCGTTAAACGTTTCCAAAATAAGGCAATGAATTGTCGAGACCCGATCACAGAGGAGTTCATTCTCCAAACTTGTCACAACCACATCTCTTTGGATGTGCTAGAAATCATGCGAACAACGCCGTCCAAAATTTGGAAAGATCTGAAAGTGCGCGGGGAAGCGTTGCCGAACGCTTCCTCAAAAGGAAGAAGGCTGAGAGAGGTCAAACGGTAGTGAATCGCCCTAAGCAGAACTTCGTCCCTCGTGGTAGAGGGAAGGCGCCATCAAAGACAGTGGACGCGAATCAGACATTCCAACTATAACCCCGACAATAAGCACAACCTTAAG